GCATCATAACAAACTTTAAACATATTCCTATTAATGTCAATAGGCTTCTTGTTCATTTTCATAAGATGTCGTACAATTTCTAATTGGATTCCGTTTGCTTTGACAAGCTTCCTATTCATGTAAAAAGGCTTCTGGTTAATTGGAATAGGCTTCGTATTCATTTTAGCAGGGTTTCTCATTCATGTTGACAGGATTCCTAATAATGTTCATAGGATTCCTACTAGATTCCACAGTGCTCCGATTATGCTTTTAAATCCTGTTCCCTATTCATTTCACTTGGACTCGAAGTAATGTTATTGTAACTCTTATTAATTTTATTAGCAATCCTATTTATTAAAAGTTTTAATAGGGTTCATCATAGTTCTAACAGTACGACTCTTATTGTTTCAAGTTTTAAAGCGTCCACGTTACTTTTTTTATAGAATTTTATCGCCTCCTCTTAATCTTTTAATAGGATTCATCTTCATGTTAAACGGATTCCTGTTACTCTTAAACGAATTCATAGATTCTTTTGTAGGGTTCCTATTAATTTTAATAGCATTCCTATGAATTCAAAAGGGTTCCTATTCATTTCAATGGCCTTCCTATGATTCCTCTGAATTTAGGACTCCAAGAAAATTTCATAGGAGCCCAGTTAATTTAATAAGCTTCTACGTATTTCAACCAGGTTCTTATTGATTGTACTAGGATTCTTACTAAGTTTTCACAAAAGACTCGTCTCAATTTCAATAGGGTTCTCATTCATTTTAATGGGTTTCCTATTGATTTAAATGGGATTCCTATTGAACTCATACGAACCCTATGAATCCTATTAAATTTAATAGGAACCCAAGTAAAACCAACAGCAATCTTATTGAAATTAATAGCAATCCACGATGTCCAGCAAATTGTTCAGGTCACTTCTGTTTGAGCACTCGCTCGAGCAATTGCTGAGTGGATCAAATTATGTGAATTAAGCTTTTTGGAATCAACGAAGTTAACGAAAGTGTTTGAAATCAATTACGGTAGACAAATCTGTGAAGTTGAGTAAATATTTAATGAATTAGTAAAACCCTACCATGACCAAACTGGCAGGCCGATCTGTCGGACTTCAGGGAAGAGCATATGGAGACGTGTTTTTTTTTGGGGGGGGGGGGAGGTACCATATATAGATATACACACATATATATATATATGTATATACCTATTGTTTGTGAACGTGTCTGGCTGCTGTGTGCAGCAATGCTGTCCGTAGCCTTTTTTTCGCTTCCGGGGTCTGTCGTAGGGGGGGGGGGTGAGCATATATATATATATGTATGTATATGTATACACATCTTCATACAAATGTGTGTGACGTGCTTCTCATGTCCTGCATACATGTATGATATTCTTGTGGTGCGATTGATCTTGTTATATTTGTATATATGTAGAAGTGCATTTTCAAACTCACATGTGCCTGCAACAAGGCTGGAGCCGCTCCGCAGCCGCTGTCTCAACATCTCGCGCGGGTGGTGGACCTATGAGCACCCAAGCTCCAGGGGTCTCCAGATGTCTTGGATCAGGGTTTAGCAGGGTTTAGGGTTTAATATAGGGGTCGGAATAATTACTAATAACGTTCCCACGGAATATTCCCTTATGGTCCCTGTATAATTTTGCTAGAATAAGCCCCAAGACCCTGTTCTAATGAGTAAGGCTCCTACAGTAGGCAGTTCTCGTTGTCCATGGCTAGGGCCTTCCCGTTGTGTCAGGTACTGCTACCCAGGGAGCTTGGTGCAGTTCCACCTGGAAAACGACAAGCGCGCTCCACAGTACACGCTTGGAACATTAGAGGCAGGATTGACATGTCAGAAGGGCAATGCATGGGGGCACTTGCTTGTCAAACCTCCTACTCGCAGATAAGGAGCAGGAGCGGGACATAGATTCTGTGCTCTTCTTTTGCTGCCTTGTGCTATGGAGCCCAAGTTCGCGTGCTCTGAAAGTCGGCAGGGCACCACCCAGAGCAAGTCGCCGAACCGCGTCAACATGAGCACCTTGCCTCCTAGTGGTCTGTCCACCTGTGGAACATGACCTCATAAGGCCCGGCTAGAAGAACCTGAGCCTGCAAGTTTGATCCAACATGATTCAATGGAAGGTTGTTTTCAAAGCAATGTAGGCATATATATATATATATATGTAGATATGTATATATATATATATAGATGTATATACATATATATATATGGGGTGTGTGCGCGAAATCAGCCGCAGACATCGACGCTCCAGGCATGATTCGGCTGAAGCCGAGCATGAGCCCGCGAGAGCGACGAGCTCCGCCGTGCCTGATCTTCCTCTATTGGGGGGGGGGGGGGGGGGGGGTTCTTAGTAGGGAATGAGGTAATGAGGGCCCTACATAGTTCCTTAAAGGGTATACAGGGCCCTAATTCCCTCATTCCCGATTAAGAACCAGGGGAGGGGGGGGGGCGGGTTCACCTATACTCTGCCTGACACACGTACAATACAGTGCCTGCAACTCTCTTTACCTACAGCTTCATGGGTACATGGCGACTAATTAAGGGGTAGTTGCTACTAAACTGTAGGTAGGTAGAGGTCCAGGTGGATATAATATGAGTGAATAGAAGTGTTATGCAACTGCAACGCACAGAACGGAAGTTTGAGGACGAGGTGCTCGCTTGCCTCTCTGATTCTCAGGTCGCGGCACTTGACCCTCGAGCAGCACCTTGGGGGTGGCAACGCGACTTGGGTTTTTATCTACAGCCTCCTCTGTCCAGCATTCGTTTCAGCATTTTTTGTTGCAGTGGTATGGCAAACGACTACATCACAGTAGTATAGCAAAAGGTCATATTACTACAGTAGTGTAGCAAAAGATCAGGATATTCTTATCAGTATCATAGCAAAAGATTGGTGTATTCTTATGTTCTGTTTCAGCTGGAACCTAAGTTTTAGGGCACGTGGGTTGACGGTTCAGGGTTTAGGGTTCAGGGTTTCGGGTTTAGGGTTTAGGGTTTAGTAAACCCTAAACCCTAAACCCGAAACCCTAAAACCTAAACCCCTTGCGAGGTTTGCGATGAGACCTCGCAGCCCAGACGGGCAGCGATGCACTTCCAGTGTCCACCAGACTGGCAGACAAGGCAGGTGGCGCGCTTTGGGCTTATAGGGTTTAGGGTTTCGGGTTTAGGGTTTAGGGTTTAGGGTTACAGAAACGACCCGAAGTCGATGATGTGTGCGCAGTTCCCTTTGATTAAGTTTGGTTGCCCAACCCAGACCAACTGTCTGTTCTCATTCTCAATGTGACATTGACATGAGGGTTTACGAAATAGTGGACCCCCAGCTAGATTCCCAAATAGAAAGATCCCCTTATGTGAAGGACCCCCAATAAGGTACCCCTATGTTTCGAAACCCCCCCACATGGAGATGGGAGCGATCCGGGATTGAATATGGCTGCACCTCGCCGTGTTCTTCGAGGAACGGGTCCCCTTTCCCCAGGAACCCAGCGACCCTAAACCCCCAGAGTCCTGAAACCCTAACCCTAACCCACCTCCAGGACAAACTAAAGTACTAAAGTACACTGAAAGATTAAATGCCAACATGACAAAGGCATAGCATATCAATATGAAACACATAGGCAGTAGCTCCATGAGGCGCTTGCCTCTACAAGCCATGCCCTAAACCCTAAACCCGAAACCCTAAACCCTAAAGGCCTGAATCACGCATTGTGAGCGTCACGGAGAGCTCGCTCTGCGAGTACGAGGCCAGCAGCTGAGTGCATGAGGGGCCAGCGTTCTTTGGCAGCCTTGACCGAAATCGATCTAGGCGTAGTGGTCAGGGTTAAGGGTTTAGGGTTGGGGGTGTAGGGTTTTGGGTTTAGGGCTTAGGGTTTAGGGTTTAGGGTTTAGGGTTTAGGGTTTAGGGTGTCAACTTGCCAGGTCTTGATCCACACAACTCTACTCTGCGGCCATCACAAGCTGATGCCCACATTGCCGAGAGGCACCGATGGCCAAGCGCAGCCAGATGTACCCAAAAGTGATCCGAGTCGGGTGCAGGGACGCAAGCACTCAAGGCCATAAACCCGTAGACCAAACAACCATAGACTGCCAGGCAAGGAGTTCATCCAGTGCGTCGCAGACCCCAGAGACGAGGAGAACATGTGAGCACTATGGCTGACACGCTTCTGACATGCGAGGCGACCTTCCCTTCCAACCGAAAGGGGCTGGTTCTTAGTAGGAATGAGGTACCCTATATAAGCCCTTATAGGGTATATATATATATATATATATATATATAGGGTTGTACTTCCCTCATTATCCCTCATTCCCTACTAAGAACCAGGGGGCATGTGCTACTGCAGGAGTCGGCGAGTCTTCACTGATCCTGATCCGACGCCGGAACGTCCCGTAGTTCTGTGTCAGCTGTGATGCTGTCGGTGCGTAGATGAATTGCTCTGCAGCTGTTCCTGAGAATTGCCTTGTACAGTTCGGCCAGAAGTGCTGCAGAAAGACGGCCAAGGGCCTGGTTGCGGCGTGAGCTGTCCCAGGGAGGTCTCAAGAAGCGGTCACGCCTCTTTTGACCTTTTTGGACCAGCTCCCTGCAAGAGAAGAAAACAAGCATCTCTGACACACCCCCCCTATTACATGGTTTAGGGTTCAGAACCCTAAACCCTAAACCCTAAGCCCTAAACCCGAGTTGGTTGCTATCAGGGCGTCTTGGCGCTACCAGCACCTGCCTTGGCCCTCCTGTCCCATCCTGCACGGCTTGGGTTTTAGGGTTTCAGGGGTTTCTTAGGTGTTTAGGGTTTTGGGTTTCGGTTTTAGGGTTTCAGGGGCTTCTTAGGTTTTAGGGTTTCAGGGGCTTCTTAGGTTTAAGGGTTTCAGGGGCTTCGGGCCTCTTTTGGGTTTTAGGGTTTCAGGGCTTCTTAGGTTTTAGGGTTGTAGGGTGGCAAACTAAGGGCTTTTCTTGGAAGGCTTTAGGGTTCTTTTCCATCTTTGTTGTTAGGGGTCAGGGCTCCCTGCTGGCCTTTGCCTCAGGCGAAGATGCCCCGTGCGGAGACAGCAGCAATGCAGATGCAGATGGACCAGCCGGGGACCAATGATAAAGACATTCTTTAAAAGAATTGTAGCAGTTGCAATACTGACAGTAGCAATCGTAGTCATCGTAATGGTAATGAACATGAACAGTACGCATGAGAGTAGCAATAATCGTACGAAAATACGAATACTTGCAAAGATAGCTAAAAAGCCAATTGACACATTGGTGATGTCAGCGGTAGCTGCAGTAGAAATGATATTTCACCAATGCTGTACTCGGAATCATGGTAATGGTCGTTAGGATTGGACTGGAAACCCTAAACCCTAAACCCTAAACCCTAAACCCTGACAATATAGAAGACTCACACTGATCATAGCAAAAAGATGCCGGGGGCTTTGTCTCCAGGGCAAGTTGTAGGGTCCCTTAGCATGGCTTGGTAGCCCAGTGGTACCCTTGACCCCTTTTCTGGGTTATGGGTTTAAAGCCTAAACCCTAAACCCTAAACCCTAAACCCTAAACCCTAAACCCTAAACCCTAAACCCTAAACCCTAAACCCTAAACCCTAAACCCTAAACCCTAAACCCTAAACCCTAAACCCTAAACCCTAAACCCTAAACCCTAAACCCAGATCAGAAGCCGAAAGCTGCAGGCAAGAAGTCTTCGAGTTGTCCGAACCCCAGGTGCTGATGCACCATGTGACATGCCTTGCGAGGGTGCTCTAAGCCTAGGGTTTAGGGTTTAGGGTTTAGGGTTTTAGGGGTTTTAGGGTTTTAGGGTTTTAGGGTTTTAGGGTTTAGGGTTTAGGGATACCTTCTGAAATTACTCCCCAGAGGGCCAGTTGAAAGGTGGCACATCAGCATGATGGTGTGGCAAAGGGGGAGTCGAGGATTGTTGAGGCCAGTTATGACAATTCCGTTGAGAAGATCTCACGCAATACTCCTGACAGCCGGCAAGAACGCTAAGGAAGGAAGCAAAGGAGCTCATGGACATAGCCTCACAGGTGCCGCCGGATTCTCAGGTCGATCATGTGACACACACGGAACACGTGCGTTGCAGTATGGTTTCCTATTCCTGAGCACGGTTTCAGAGAACGATTTCAGAAACGGAAGGGTCTGGGGAGTATAGACTCTAAACACTAAAACCCTAAACCCTTATCTGCTCTCTCTGACACCAGCTCAGGGCCCTCACTGTTCTTCCTTTCGACAACCCCTACGAGACGCTGCTGAAGCGCTCGTCAGCCACCCAGCCATGACAAAGTCCCAAGATGCTGGAATGCAGGGTTTAGGGTTTAGGGTTTTAGGGTTTTAGGGTTTCGGGTTTCGGGTTTAGGGTTTTCGGGTTAGGGCTTCGGGTTTAGGGTTTAGGGTTTCATGTAGGATGAGCCTTCTCGGCCCTCTGGTCCGCCGGAGTGTTCGCAGGTGTCAGATGGCTGGGCATGCTTTGTGAGCGGGGGGGGTGGGGGTGGACGGGTCTCTAGTGCAGCAGTGGGTGCCTTACTGGGGTCCTTATTGTAAGGGAATCCTAGTATCTGGCGGGCGATATTGGGGTCCCTCATTCTCGTAAACCTCCATATCATGGTCCAAGGGGGAGAGGGTACCCAAAAAGAAAGAACCTACAAAGTGGATCAACTACCCCGCCTCGTGTGGGCTCAGCTCCCTTTCTGGGTATCCTCAACACAAGGCTCTCCGATCTCTCACAGGAACAGCAAAGCGGCCATCATGTGGGAGCCCTACGCCCTAAAACCTTAAACCCTAAACCCTAGACCCTAAACCCTAAAGGCCCTCAACCCTAAAGGCCCTCAACCCTATGGACCCTTAAACCCGAAGCCTCATGTCTGTGTTCCTCAAGGCCGGTGGATTGCGTCCAGGGGCAGAAGCATGAGCTCCTGGAGGCTCACCGTAGAGCGCTTTCTTCCATCGCGCTGTATAGTTTTGGGTGCTTCAGGGTGTTGAGGGTTGTAGGGAACCCTAAACCCTAAACCCTAAACCCTAAACCCTAAACCCTAAACCCTAAACCCTAAACCCTCTCTATCATATTATATATATATATATATATATATATATTTTTTTTATATTTATATTTATACTTATTTGTTTATTTAAACCTTCGGGACTTTTCGGCCAATCTGCCCCCCAATGTTCGTGACTTTTCGGCCAATCTGACCCCAATGTTCGTGACTTTTCGGCCAATCTGACCCCAATGTTCGTGACTTTTCGGCCAATCTGACGCCAATGTTCGTGACTTTCCGGCCAATCTGACCCCAATGTTCGTGACTTTCCGGCCAATCTGACCCCAATGTTCGTGACTTTTCGGCCAATCTGACCCCAATGTTCGTGACTTTTCGGCCAAGCTGACCCCAATGTTCGTAACTTTTCGGCCAATCTGACCCCAATGTTCGTGACTTTTCGGCCAATCTGACCCCAATGTTCGTGACTTTTCGGCCAATCTGACCCCATTGTTCGTCGGGGGTGGGCCCCAGAAGGTTCAGTGGAAAACGTATCCGAATTGAGTAGGTAAAACTCTCTGGGGTGCTTCTTTGGGCGGGTGGGGTTTTTTCTAAGCCTGGAACCCCCTCTAGAACAGTGACCCTCTAGACCCTAAACCCTAAACCCTAAAAACTAAACCCTAAACCCTTGCCCACCTCCAGGGAGGGACACGAAGCATCCTCCTCATTCTGCTCCCCTGGAGGCCTTGATCTGCATCTCGAAGGCTGTTGCGATCAGCCGGTGCCACAGAGGCTTCACCTGACGATGAGGGGTTTAGGGTTTAGGGTTTAGGGTTTAGAGTTTAGGGTTTAGGGTTCAGGGTTTAGGTGTTTGGGCTTAGGGTTTAGGGTTTAGGGTTGGGACTTTCCCCCTACTTATACTAACAGTCCTTAATCGGTATTATAGTATGTGTACGATAGTCCCTACTAAGGACTGTTAGTAACTATGAGGGGAACATCCCAATTTTAAGGGTTTAAGGTTTCGGGTTTTAGGCTATCAGGGGTGTCAGGGGTCTAGGGTTTTCGGGGTTCAGGGTTTTACTTTTTGGGGTCTTTTGTTGAGGGCTTGGGGGGGGGGGGGGGGGTTTTTAGGGCTCAAGGCTCAGGGCCTTCTAGGGGAGTTGTGGGGTGGAAGGGGTTTGTAGGCACCACATGTCCAAGCTGAGTATCCTAAACCCTAAGCCCTAAAAGCCCTAAAAGCCCTAAAACCCCTAAGCCCTAAAACCCCTAAGCCCTAGACCCTAGACCCTAAGCCCTAAGCCCTAAGCCCTAAGCCCTAAACCCTAAACCCTAAACCCTAAACGCTAAACCCTAAACCCTAAACCCTAAACCCCTAAACCCTAAACCCTAAACCCTAAACCCTAAACCCTAAACCCTAAACCCTAAACCCTAAACCCTAAACCCTAAACCCTAAACCCTAAACCCTAAACCCTAAACCCTAAGCCCAGCCAGACTTCCCAGTTTAAGGCCCGGCCTGTGAGGAACTTTGGTGGAGCGAGGCACTGAGATCGGTGCCCGCGCAGCCCTAAACCCTCTGAGCCCATGCCTCACCCCCTTCTACTAACCGGCTTTAGGGTTTAGGGTTTAGGGTTTAGGGTTTAGGGTTTAGGGTTTAGGGTTTAGGGTTTAGGGTTGGGATGTTCCCCCTGGTACTAGCAGTCCTTAATCAGGATTATTATGGGGGGGGGGGGGGGGGTATTGCCGTTTAGGATGAACACTTGTGGGGGTTTCCGAAAACCGGGGGTACCCCTATGGGGGTTCCTGTAAGTAGGACTATACTATTTTGGGACATACTGAGGGTGCCCCTATAGGGGGAGATACCCCCATGTTGATAGATACGGCTTCTTACTCGATCTTGGGAACCCAGGTGCTTCACAGGTCTTTCTGCAGCTGTTGCTCCTGCAGGACTCAGCTTCATACCAGCCTTTATCCTCACGGTCAATCTCTGCCCAAGATTCCCCCCCTGCCCTCCCCCTCCCCCCACTCCCTCGGCGCCCACCTGCATCTCTAATCTTCAATATGCTCCCCATCGGCAACCCTAAACCCTAATCTCAAGCTAATGTTGCACACGCCAAATACGTTTAGGGTTTAGGGTTTAAGGCGCTCCCTAAGATTTTTACAAAATGGCCAGTACGCTTTGGAGTGCGGGCAAGGATGATGCCGACGCACTCGCCGAACCCTGGAGTCAAAAGCTACAGGCACAGCCAGACCACGAAGCTCTCAAGCTCCCAGGAGGTTTAGGGTTTAGGGTTTAGGGTTAGGGTTTAGGGTTTAGGGAGAGTGGCTTCATGCTGAGCAGGGCCTAAGGCTCAATCGCAGTTGTTTTCCTGGATTTGTTGTGGGTTGTCTTTGCAAGAACTTTGTAGAGACTGGCCCAAATCTCATTGTATCATGTTCAAACAAGTCTTATCTTCATGGCCATTTTCGCCGCGACCAGTAACATATCGATCATGACCCACTTGCAATCAAGGATCAAGAGCACTGCTAGGCAGTCATATTTTTTGAGCATCTGGTATACCAATCTATCTGATCGTCACTTTCGGCCACCTCCATGTCATTGCTCTACCCCGAACCTTAAACCCTAAACCCTAAACACTATTTTGAGCCTGTCGGCAGGTCTTCACAGGGAGCTCGGACATGAACTGGTCACAGCGCTGGCGTTTTCTGTATGGTAGCGAGCTCAGAACAGCTACTCGACAACCCTTCCGAATTTCTTGAGTTCAGGGTTTGGGGTGTAGGGTGTAGGGGTTTAGGGTTTAGGGTTGAGGGTTTAGGGTTTAGGGTTTAGGGGTCTGGTTAACACTATGGGTCTTTGGTGGCCTAGACTACAAGGAAGACACGATAGCAGAAGCAAAGGCTCCAGTGTATCCACCATCCAGCCCTTTTCGAACAAGACCAGCACCACAGCGGGGCGGGTTGGCGGATCCCCCGGCTGCATTTTCCAAAATGACCCGTATATACTATATCCTAAGGGCTACATCCCCCTTGGGAATAATTTTTTTGTTTATATACAACCCAAGAGGATATTAAAAATACAGAAAGAGACTATTTTGTACTCAGGTTCTAAGGGGAGTGTAGAGGGCCCATGGTTCCAACCTGACTCCTGCGAAGCGCCAGGGGGCTTGAAAAAAGAAGCCGCAGTCGAGAGCTTAAGGTCAAGCGCGAATGCTGAATCAAGCTTGGCAGTCGCCGGCTCGGATGCATTCTTGAGCTGTGCTTTCATGAGTGGAAGTTGGACTTATTGTGATTAGTATAATAATAGATAATAGATAAGAAGAAATAAGTAATGAATAATTAATAATAAATAACAAATAACAAAAAATGAAAATAATAAATAAATAAATAAATAAATAAATACATAAATACATAAATACATAAATAATAATAATATGAATATTAATAATAGTCATAATAATTGTAATAATAATAAGATATATATATATATACTTGTTGATATCATACTTTGTGTGTATATATATATATGCACGCATATGACAGCCACTGGATGTCCGCTGCCTTCTGTCTGGAGTCAATCTTTAGGTACAAGCTCACAGACGACCTCACTCGCGGGGTGAGAATGCTGAAGGCTGTGAGCTGCGTAGTGCCCTAAACTCATAGTTTGGAAAAGCCCCCCCCCAGCAACCCCCCCCCCCCCAGGCCGCCAAACCAGATCGCGCACGAAAGGTTTTTTGCTATTCGCGCAAAACTTAAAGCGCGCAACGACGGGTTGCCCCTGCGAATTGCAGACTATTTGCCAGCCAATAGACTGCTATTGGCGGCTTGTTGGCTTGGGGGGGGGGGTCGTGTAACCGGGACTGCGTTCGCTATTAGCTAGCTAATAGCAGTCAGCCGGTTTTGCAGACACGCTCGAATGCTAATCGCTAGCTAATAGCGCGGAAGGTTGTGTGGGTCATTAGCTGCTATTAGCTGCCTAATAGCCAACGAATACAAACAGACTTTTCTGAACCTGAGGGGGGGGGGGGGGGGTTGCTGGGGGGGGGGGCTTTTCCAAACTATGATAAACCCTAAACCCTAAACCCTAAAACCCTAAAACCCTAAAACCCTAAAACCCCCAAACCCTAAAACCCTAAAACCCTAAAACCCTAAAACCCTAAAACCCTAAAACCCTAAAACCCTAAAACCCTAAAACCCTAAAACCCTAAAACCCTAAAACCCTAAAACCCTAAAACCCTAAAACCCTAAAACCCTAAAACCCTAAAACCCCAAACACTAAACCCTAACCCTCTGATCTCGGTTGCCCCTTTTTTGGGCTGGGACTTCTATCTGTCAAGTGCGACCTCTGGGAGGCTGGGCAGAGCATCCCTGAGTTGCTTTCTCAGACCGCACTGAGATGGTTCGAGAGGCCTGGCAGCTGAAATCCTAACCCGAAACCCTAAACCCTAAACCCTAAACTCTCAAATTACTCATCAGAGCCGCGGCAGGCAGCTCGAGGTACTGGTGCTCCTGAGGTGTCGCAAGCGCTACTTTGCTTGGCTCTCATACGATCTCAATCTCCAGCCATGCTGTGTGGGCCCACAGCTGGGTGGATCAGAACCAGAGGGGGCCGTACCAAAAGCTAGCAAGCGCATATATACACATGTATATATGTGTAGTTCTTTTTTGGTATGTATATACTTACATTACATCTGAACCGCAGAGAGGGTTGGGGGAAATTTTTCTTCTTCTAGGTCCACCACGCCTTTCGGCACAAGTTTGTGTTTCTGAGGCCACCCAGGCACAAAGCAACGAGAGGCGGCTGGCCCACTTGCCCGGTGCTTGGGAAGATCCCTTTGCTCAGACTGGAGCTGCGGATAGTCGATGTGAAACAGGGAAGTTTATATTACTGTTGTTGGTGAGTGTATATAAGGTTCCTTTCTAATAATGGTGAGTGTGTATATTGGGTGTGGGATACAAGGAATATGAACCCTACTTCATGTAGATGAGCTTGGCATATGCTTTGCAATGTACATGAAGCATTTTGAAAGTCGATGATATCTGTCTATCTGTCTATCTGGACGAGTTGCAGACAGACAAGTGGCGGTACTATGATATCCGACAGATTCAGATGTCATTGTCCAGCCATCCGCTTGAAGCATGCTTCACGTAGCGAGCCTATTCCTTGTGTTGCGTTGTAGACGATAAACTTGGTCATTTCATAGACAGAAGGAACATATGAGAAAAAAAATGCTTGTACAGGGAGTGAAAGGCTGGCAGGGTTTCCTTTTGCTGGTCCCTCTGCATGGCAAGCATTCGAAAGCTCTGCGCCGAATCTACGTATCCCCATAGATTCATGCCGGATGACAGTCGCATCACTTCCTGATGAGGAATGTCGGCATCGCATGGCGGCGTAGTTTGCATGTGGTAGCCCACGGATCGTCGTTTTTGTGCCACTTGGGCACCTTGTATCTATGCAGAAGTCTTGACCAAGCCCGGCGTTATACGTTCAGTTGTGCTCTTTTTTTCATACCACGATCAATTGCACCATTCTTTTGGAGTGCTCTCTTCTCACACAGGAAGCGCTGCAAGCGCACGGCCCTGTCGCTGCTGTGGTTTCTCATCCACTGCTCGGCGCGCCTGCTGGGGTTAGATTGGGGCCGTCAACCATTTGGGCCGATGGGCAAAGAGTTCCAAAAATCAGATGCCGCAACGGGCGCGTTGCCGCGCAGGACCTTCAAGGTGTATTTCAGTACGCCACGGAAGCCATGGCGGCAGTGAAGGACGGGATCTAAGGGGAATTTTCATTCAAGCTGGAGTCCCTGAACGTTTTAATCTCCGACACTTTTTAACCACATGTCAGCTGTTTGCATGTTATTGTGAACCACAGCGACGCCTTCTATTCACAGCCACCCACCTCACTGGCGCGGCAGGGGTGGGAAGAACCTGCCTTTGCTGAAGCATGGTCCGACTCTCAGCTCCCTCGGAGATCATTGGCTTGGGCCCTTGCACCCCGCAAGGCGCAAGTTCTCAAGCTCCAGCAAGCAGCCGCTGCTCTGCTTCAGAGGGACCTCCTCGTAGCCTCGTTGAAGAATGGGACCCTGTTTGACCCATCTTTGTGTACCTTTCGTTGCATTCCGTGCAGGACAGTGCGGGAAGCTCTCCCCGCTTACCTTTGGTACGCCCTTGCATGCCAACATCGAGTTCACGCTGCAAGTCCTTATGGAACTGCAGCCTGTTCCTGCCCTGTGCCATGGGAGGTATGTGCCATACATCCTTGGGCGAATCGAGTGGAAGCTCTGGAAACTCAGCCCTGCCACTTGGCTGCAGCATTCAAGCACCTTGATGACTAGTTTCACTATTTTGTCAGCTACATGCTGGCTGTCGTAAAGCCACGAGTTCACGCATCAAGAGAGGACAATGCCCTTAGCGGCGCACCAGCCGAGAATCAAAAAACACAAGCGGCAGCACTGAGTTACACTTCCACAATTTTCCACATGCAGCTGCGAGCACTCATCTCAACAATCAACAAGAGCACCAAAATCAGATGGTGGTTGGGATTGGCCTCACCAACGACTTCTTGACAGATGAAGGATCAGCGAACATCCAGTCTTCAATCGGCGCTTCAACAGGAAATTTCATCCAAAGTCTCGAGGGTTGCGACTCCCTGTCGAGAGGCTAAGTACAGGCGCCAGATATGCCAAAACACATTTCCTACTTAACTGTCTTTGCTACTACTGGCCACTTTGAAAGCCACCTGAAGGGCGGTTTAGAAGGTCTGATACTTTACCTCAATTGACTTCTACATAGAGTTGCAAAGCAGAGGCTTCCACAGAGAGGCTTGATCGGAAGATCATCATCTGTGCCTTGCCTGCATACGTTGCATGACGGATCTGTTCTGAGAGGCTCTAGCCTCTGCTCTTTCTCCAGCAGAAGATCTTTTGTTGCCGTTTTTTTGCCCAAGCACACTTTTTTTTACTCATTATCAGAATATATCATTCCCCTGCACTGCCCATAGCCGAGTTCTTCTGTCTAAAATAACAAGTCAGGCCTCTTGATGGATGCGTGCCACGTTGAGTTGGAGGCCGGTCACCCTGTATATCGTACTCTGCATGGCTGCGGCCGTCGGATTCTTGAACATGAGAGCTTCTTAGAGCTTGCGAAGTTTTAGCGCTCCGGTGGCCAGCACAAAAGCCTCCGAAGCTCCTAGTGTTCCCGTCAACAAGCCGGCGTCAGTCATTAGGGGTTTGGGGTTTAGGGTTTCGGGTTTAGGGTTTAGGGTACCCTGGTTTTAGGATCTCGCTTGTCTTATCTGTAGGGCAGGCTCGGGGGGTCGGTCGTATGGAACCATCGAAAACAAAGGTTTCCACATGCGACCATTCTGTGACTACCATATATTATATAGTATTCTATTGCTATATATAGTATTCTATATATATATATATAATCATATACAGTATATAATATCTATTGTATACTGTATGTCTGTATATACATATCTAGAAAGTATATATTATGAGGTATATAGTATGTCGCACATGATATATATGTATATATAGATAGATAGATAGATAGATAGATAGATAGATAGATAGATAGATAGATGTACTTAGATATTTATTCTATACTTACATTAAGTGTTGATTGGTTTACACATTTGTTTATTTGTTTGCTTGGAATGTTGGTGATCACAACTCGTCCTATGTCAGATCCGTGCTCCAGCTTCTGCAAACCGTTGGTTGTTATAGTGCCAGCAGCAAGAAGAAGCTTCTTAAGGCTACTTGCGTCACTGGTATCTTCTGTATGTTCTGCAACCCTACAAGCGTTTTTGGGGAACCCGAAACCCAATCCTAAACCCGAAACCCTCAACCCCAATGGCTGCCAGGTGCGTGACTCCCTGCTGGAGAGGTCGGGGGCAATGTGGCGGCAATATCGGAGTCGGAATAGGTACTACTAGTCTTCCCTTGTGGCCCTTACATATTTTCACTAAGAATCCCCAAAAGCCTATTCTAATTGTAAGGTAATGTTGATATAGGGGTCGGGGAGAATCACTAGGAGTATTCCCTTAAACCCCCATATCACCCTACTCTAACGATTAGGGCCCCTGTATAAACCTATTCTAACTGTTAAGGCCCCTAAATCCCCCAATTCGAACTATTAAGGCCCCTAGATAACCGTATTCTAACTATTCAGGCCCCCAAATAACCCGATTCTAACGATTAAGGCCCCTTACATTGGGCCTGTCAGAGTGCGGTGTCAGCGCAGAGCGGACAGGAAGCGGGTGGAGTTCATCGACACGGAGCCCAGCTTCAGGCGCAGCTTCGGAAGGAAAGGGTTTAGGTTTAGGGTTTAGGGTTTGAAAGTTAGAAAGATTGAAAGAAAGTTTGAAGTTTGAAAGAAAGTTTGAAAGAGTGGGAAGCCTGTTGATTGCAGCTGAAGCCGCCTGTGGGCAGGCTGCATGCGATGCGTCTTGCTATCCTGTTTGGGTCCGCAGACGGTCTGCTCCTCAGCTATGTGCTAGTTTAGGGTTTAGGGTTTAGGGTTTAGGTTTTAGGGTTTAGGGTTTAGGGTTTAGGGTTTAGGGTTTAGGGTTTGCAAATGTTTCTTGTGCCGCGCTGTTTTGTGCGTTGACAAGTATGACCGGGGGAGGACTTGGCTCGACTGGCCCAGACTTACTCGTAGCTGTGGCTCCTGGTAGGGAACTCCAGTAGCTGTCAAGGTGGTGAGTTCTCTCATCTGAACTAGGGTCTCTTTTTAGATACCCTAGATATTAGGGCCTGCTTTATTCAGGGGACCCCGAAAGGGACCTCGTGTGCAGAAGTGGCCATGTTGTCCCTAAGCCCTAAGCCCCAAGCCCCAAACCCTAAACCCTAAACCCTAAACCCTAAACCCTAAACCCTAAACCCTAAACCCTAAACCCTAAACCCTAAACCCTAAACCCTAAACCCTAAACCCTAAACCATAAACACTAAACCCTAAACCCTAAACCCTAAACCCTAAACCCTAAACCCTAAACCCTAAACCCTAAACCCTAAACCCTAAACCCTAACCCTAAACCCTAAACAGGGTATGAGAGCGCCGGGATGATGTGCTACGATGTGAGCAATCCGGAGCTGCCGGCTCCTCAGAATCTGTCAACAGAGAGTCTCTGCTCACCTTTAGGGTTTAGGGTTTAGGGTTTAGGGTTTAGGGTTTTAGGGTTTTAGGGTTTAGGGTTTAGGGCATGTTCAGGTCACGAAACAATGTCATGGCCGACGCTCTCAAGGCTTGATACCTCGACTTTTGCACTGTTACACGCTGTGCCTCAACTCATGCCATTGCCTGGATTTGGGGTTTAGGGTTTAGGGTTTAGGGGATTTGGGGATGAAAGTTGGTCTTTGTCATTCGAGGGGATGTACGAGCTGGCGCAAATGGACAAGTGGTACATGTGCAAGTACTACGCTTGTGAGGTGCGGGGCGTGTTTTGGCATATTGTAGATGGTGATAGAATTCATGCTGCATGTTGCCAAAGCATCGCAATTATTTCGGTAGCTTCTTTTCCGCATTGAGGGAGTTGCTGAAGAGCATATGCGAGGGGCGCTGACGACTCGAAGTCACAGCACTAGTAGGGCTCTCTTGCAGCACTTGCATTGACTACTCTGCGCACATGCCGTGACATTCCTGCGCACAGTCCAAAGACTGTGTGCGAAGCCAAAGCGTCCTACTACAGGGGTCGGAATAATTACTAATGGTCCCTCTATAATTATACCACAATAACCCCCAAAACCCTGTTCTAATTAGTAAGGCCCCCATATTAAACCCCGAGCCCTCTCAGAGTCGCCTTGTAGCAGGCGAGGGCGCATCTCGATGTTGGTGATCTCAGAACCGCAGCCGACGGCGCGCGAGGCTGAATCGGCTGAATCTGTCCGGCAATGCTCAGGATGCCTCTGTATACTTGGTAGCCCAGTGGTCCTGTTCTTTTTGGGGTTCAAGGTTCGCTTATGACGTAACCAACCCCAAACAGGATACCTGTATTGTAGTCCGGTTCCTGGGCTACCCAGTATATCTCTTCCATCATGTTGCGATATTTTGGGGGGGTTCTCCGAAAATCGGGCTGCATTGTGTGGCGGGTTCCGTACCATATTCAGGATATCATACTCTTTTTGGGGTTATACAAGGACCCCCTGTTCTCCGAACCCCCCCCCCCCCCCCCAAATAGATAGATCTCCATAAGCCAGCCAAGGTGGACAAGGTTGTCGATGAGACACTCCGAGGTCGCAGAAGCCTCAGCTTGTGTAGGAGGGACACATTGTGAGGCAGACTGGTTTGGGGTTTAGGGTTTAGGGTTTAGGGTTTAAGGTTTAGGGTTTAGGGAAACATCTGCAAGCCCGAAAAACTTCAAATCCGAAGCCCTCAGGCCAATTCCAAGCGCCATTCTTCGAGTGTCCCAGCCTCAGACAAGGCGACACATCCCAACCGCGAGAGGGTTTGGGCCTGAGGCATCAATCCTTTCGTCATGCACTGCCAGCCAACGCCTCAGTGGGAGGTCGGAACACCTGCTTCTTTGCTTTTTGTGCAACTTCCTCTCGGTGGCCTAAACCCTAAAACCCTAAACCCTAAACCCCTAAACCCCTAAACCCTAAACCCTATGCCATGGATTAGCGAAGCATCTGGCACACCGAGCCACCGAGGCGTGTACGAAAGGACTGGGATGCCGACTGTTGGACTCTCTTTACCTACTAGTGTCTTAGTTTTAATGGGGGGTATGCCTACAACATTAGGGTTTAGGGTTTAGAGTTTAGGGTTTAGGGTTCGGGTTACTACGAAAATGTAGGTAAAGAGAGGCCCAGGTAAGTCAGGGGCCTCAAGGGAGGTAGTTACTACTAAAGTGTAGGTAAGTAGCGCCCCAGGTAAGTCAGGGGCGCTCAGGGGCTCAGGGTTTTGGGTGTAGGAGTCGAAAGGGCATTCTGGCTTGATAAGGGTTTTGGGGGTTTCTGGTTTAAAGCTTAAAGGGAGGTTAATGGGAACCCCAAACAGAATATGGCACAAGTAGGAATGTCATCGGAATATACCTACCATATTCCCTTTACGTTCCCGCCATTGGGATCCTTTTACGGTTGCGCCCGAAGCCCTACGCAAAACTAGAAATCCCTGTCTGTGCACTGGGAGGATGAATCTCGGAAATGGGCGGCGATGAAGACGTGTGCGGCCCTCAGAAGTTTAGGGTTTGGGGTTTAGGGTTTAGGTGGTTTCCCAACAGTCAGGATATCTATTTTTGCTGGTCCGATAGGATTGTTTTTTTTGTTTTGTTTTCGGGGGGGGGGGGGGTTCCTCTTACAGTGCATGGCACCGTTTAATGACGAGGACCCGCAAAACGTACGCCTAATTTCGGAAACTCCCCATGTACTCTGATGGGTTCGACGATTCTACGCAGTGACGGCCAAGGCCTGCAAGTCCACCGGGCCATCATGGAGAGCATTCTGGGCCAGGCGGTTTAGGGTTAGGGTTTAGGGTTTAGGGTTTCGGGGCTCCAGTCTTACGTCTGAAGCCCGACTACGATATCAGGAAAATGCGGGATCGGAGACCCCACAGAAGAGGGCCATGATGTAGATCCCACCACCAAAAGCTAACCAACCTCCCTAAACCCTAGGCCCTAAACCCTAAACCCTAAACCCTAAGCGCCCTAAACCCAAAATCCTAAACCAGACCGGTTACATGAAATCTGGGTCAACAAGTCAATCCCAAGCCCTGCACCCCAAGCCCGTCTGCTGACCTGGCAGGCCTTGGCTGCAGTGGGGAAGCAGGGCGCCCAAACGCAGCTCAAGACCCAAACGTTGGGCTGTACCTCAAAAACCCAAAACCAACTGTTTCGTAGGTAATCTAAGGATCCTATAAGGGGTATGACTAGAGTAGCCTACAAAAAATCTGTTTTGGGTTCTTAAGGTAGGGTTTCCCGTTTGGATGCGCTCAGTGGAGACTGGCTGCTGCGGGAGTTGGTGAAGCCTGCTGAGTCTCATCGTCTCAAGCACCCGGTAGAATCGCCAGCTGCAAAGTTGGCTGGCATCAGCTGCAACCTACATTGATAAAGTCAGATAGCAGAAGAATCTTTTGGAGCATCAAGCCCCGGACCCCTAAGGTTCTTTTGGATCATTACAGCATAGTTACGCAGTTATGCAGCGACGGCAGGCATCGAACACTTCATCCCATTCCAGCCACGACACGGCTAATGTAAGTTTCAGCAGCACAAATCGTCGCACCACCGATGAGCTTGGACAAGTTGCTCGCCGCCCATGGGCATGAAGCTCAACATGAGCTTGACTATGAGGAGAGCTACTGGACAACTCGCCAGGGCCTGATCATGCTCTTACTGCAATGCTCATTTCAGACAGTGACAGAGATCTCAGGGAGACCAGGAAGCTTAACTTAGTCTAATCAAGATAAGGGTCGGTGACTTCCTCTCTCCTGTTGCCCGCAGCAAGAGGTCGAAGAGATAGCTGGTGCAGTCAAGCCAGCCTGCCTTCGGAGATGCCTTGCTGAAGCAAGGTTCTACCGAGCTCTTTCGTGAGATGCCCCTAAACCCTAAACCCTAAACCCTACACCCCAAACCCCAAACCCTAAACCAGGGGAAGGTGCTGGAGGGGGAAGGGGGGGGGGGGGGGGCAGCTCTGTGTGACCAAGGGTGTCTCCGACGCCGCATGCGAAAAGCGACGCGCTAAACCTGCCAGACGAACCTCGGATTCTGCATCTTCTGATTTCCTATGTAGGTGGGCTCTTTCTGCATCTTCTGACATCTTATGCATGTGTGTTATGCGACTTTTATCTAGGAGGCAGCGGCCAGAGGGCAGTGAACCCAAAGTTTCAGGAGCAAGAGCTCACTGCGTCAATCTGCAGCTGTGCGCTGTCCCTGGTCTCGACCTGCGTGGCTTGTTTTGATTCTTGGGAATTGACCCTTGAGCCCTTTATGATCTAGGGGGTTTATACTTGGGAATTAACCCTTGAGCGCTTTATGGCCTAGGGGCTTCTACTTGGGAACTGACCCTTGAGGCCTTTATGGTTGAAGGCTTTTGGGGGTTGAGGGTTGAGGGTTTTTAGGGTTTTGGGTATTCTGAGGGGCTTAGGGGGTAGTGTTTTTTTTTTCGGGTTTTGGGGGGCTAGTGCTTTTAGGGTTTTCGGGGTTTAGAGTCTAGAGCTTAGGGTCATTACTGTCATTCTTACTTATCTTCCGTATGGTTTAAGGCATCAGCACGCATCAATAACAGAATTAGACCGCCCCAAACCCCAAGCCCCAAACCCCAAACCCCAAACCCTAAACCCTAAACCCTAAACCATAAACCCTAAACCCACCGGGCGGCAGCTCCGTCCGGCAGCAAAGACCTCGGGCTGAGGTGGGCAGCGGTCTTCTTGCACTGCCCTTCGCTTTCGCCGCAGCCGGGCACCTCGCCTGAATCTTCCCCCCCCCCTGGCTCAGGATCCCTTAAAGGGGGGGAATCGGGCGGACATAGCGTACCCACACAATCCCTTAAGGGTATATATAGAAATATATATATATATATGTAGGGCGGATATAGGGTACCCTACATAATCCCTCTAAGGGTATATATAGTATCGGAGGGAGAGAGGGTGCCTCATTCCCTCATTCCCTACTACGAGCCAGCAAGTCTTCCAGAGGTGTGTGCCGGTTGAAGCCAATGGCTTCAGTGGAAGGAGATTGGGTCGATCCTTTATTAGGATGCCCTTAAGGGTTCCTAAGAATGACTCAATCCCTTGTAAACCCCCACAGGACTATACTTTCGGGGGGCGGGGGGGCATGGCATTAAGGCCTATCCATGGTCTTTGGCTCCTCGCTGGATCAGCGCTTCTCTCGGCCTTCGTCTCGCTGCTGTCCCTTGTCCCAGGCTGTGGTTCGTTTCTGGAATGCGGGTAGCAAGCTCGGAGCCACAAGCAGTCGCTGCATTGCCTCGGCATTTCGGTAGGGGACCCTAGACCCTGGAGCCGCCTCTAGACTTGGGAAGGTTCGGAGAAGGTTTAGGGGGGGGGAGCAGCTTCAGGCTATGCCAATGCTGCGACTGGAGCGAGAAGAAGTCCTACGAAGAGTTAGCCATCGCGGCCTTCGGTCGCTGGGGCTCTGCGCCTTTCTTGCAAGCCTCATGTCAATCGTGTCCGACCTGAGCGGTCACGAATAGGATTCCCGTATAGTCCCTTTGCATTTATACTACAATAACCTCATTCCAATTTTTAAAGCCCCTCTATTACAAGGGGCTATTGCTGGTACCACCATGGCACGCAAACTGCCAAGATTCTCATGGAGCTGATGGTGGTTTGGCTTTTGCTCGGCGCGATGACGAGCCTGCTGGTCATCGCAGGTGGCCTCCAAACGTAGGAACGCCTTGCACGCACATCTGGGCATCCGTGTAGCCGTAGTTTCAGCAAGACACAGAAACGATCCTGTTTCCTGTGTCAGGTGACTGCCTCCTGGCGGTAGCGCCGACCTTGAATTTGGATGCTGAGCTGATATCCATCAAGCATGAAGGGATTCAGGATGTGCAGTTCCTTGAGTTTCGCAGTTTTTTCTTCTGCAGCCGGTCTCTGTGCGAGGTTCGTGAACACCAGCCATGTTCATCATCGTGTAACCCTAAACCCTAAACCCCAAACCTTAAACTCTAAACCCTAAACCCTAAACCCTAACACCATCCCCTAAACCCTAAACCCTAAACCCTAAACCCTGAACCCTGAACCCTGAACCCTAAACCCTAAACCCTAAACAAACCCCAACTCAACCCCTAGAGGCATCCTCAGGGCCAGCCCTTCAGAGTGTAGGGCCGGATCTTAAGTTAAAGGGTTCTTAAGGGATGGGGGTTCAAGGGGGCTTAGGGTTTAGGGTTTAGGGTTTAGGGTTTAGGGTTTTTCAAAGGGGGGTTTGTAACCCAAGGTTCCCTCATGCTGCCCACTAGTCTCTAAGGCTCCGTAAGCTTCCCTCAGGTTCCCGAGTTACCTACCCCCCCATGAACCCCCCTCCCTGAAGAACGCGATAGTCAAGGCAGGCACTGCACGACGTGGCCTGCTGACAGTCCCGGGCTCAGGGACCGGCACGGAACTTTCAGCTGAGGTTTAGGGTTTAGGGTTTCGGGGTTTAGAGTTAGGGTTAGGGTCGAGGGTTTAGGGTTTAGGGTTTGCATTGAGGATCTAGGGTTTAGGGTTCACGTACCTAGAGAATTTTGTAGGTTATCCAGGAATCCGGAAAGGAGTATGATTATCATCACAACCTACAAACATGTAGGCTGTGGGTTCTGCAGGTGGGGCTGGCGTGGATGCAAAAAGCGGGTTCGTAAAATCTAGCCAAAAACAGGTCCATCATTGAGAGAAAAGGCAAATATTCTCGATTGAGTCGTTCTTGATTCGCAGCTTTGTTAGCAAGTGCGACGTTGAGCCCAATCTTTTGGTAGAGTTGGCTCTCTTGTCTCGTCATGTCAGGACGTTTAGCAATACTAAACCCGGTCGCCATATTCGCGTGGTGTGAAGACTATTATGGAAACCGGCTTATTCGCTACACTTGCTGAGACCCTGAACCCTAAACCCGAAACCCTAAACTAGGTAACTTACCAGTAAGGCATCCGCCGATTCCTAGTCTGACCAGGAAACTGCCAAGGCCTCGTCTATTTTCAAATACCGATGAGCTTTCAGACTGCTTAAAGGCAACTGGCCCCTAAGCCCTAAACCCTAAACCGTAAACCCTAAACCCTAAACTACCCTAAACCCTGTGCCTTTAGCTCCCACATTCATCGGTGGAGTGAGGCGCTTGACGTCGCCTTGGTGATCTTGCCGCTTTCTTGCCTGCAGTCTCCCGCGTACCTTGGCTGGTCTTGCTTGCCGTGCTTCGGCCTAAGGTTCGGGGTGTCAGGTTTGGGGTTTAGGGTTTAGGGTGTAGGCTTGAGCATGTCTCTGGCGAGGTCTCTCCTGTACAGCAACGCGATTGCAGTTGGCTGCACGCTCCTCGTGGGACTGCTGCTGTCTATGCGGGCATGGAGCTTGGAAACCAGCCGCTCCGCACAAGTTCTGAAAGCGCTGTTCGAGTGAACCGCTCCCCTGAGTCCCGTTTTACGCCGCAATGAGTTCCAGGCACCAAGTTTTAAGCTGTCAGTCGCATCTGCACGCTTACTGCAAGTACGACAGTTGTTTTGTTTGTGATTCTCGCATAAAGCCTGGGCCTAAGCTAAACCCTGAACCCAAGTCCTAAACCCTACTAGCTACTACCCAAAGCCCATGTTCACTTGAACGTCTGCAGGCGCCCTCATGATCTCCAGCCGGTCCAGCTTGCCCGACTTGGCTGGGTTGCTCCGCGCAGCGCCTCGACACTTTGGTTTGAGCTTGCTATAGCCCCTTTCAAACCTGAGAACCTTGCGTGACACGTTTCCTGCGACCCTAAACCCCTAAACCCCGATAAACCCCTAAACCCTAAACCCTACAGCCCTAGACCCTAAACCCCTGGATCCCTACACCCCGTAACCCCGAGACCCCTCTTGACTCAATGGGTGTCGCTTCTGCACCAAGGTTCCAATTGTCACGCTCAGCATGGGCTGCCAAGTACAGGTGTGGGGTGCTGCGGACCTGTCGGCCAGTTGAGCACACGAAAATGATTTAGGGTTTAAGGTTAGCGTTCAGGGTTTAGGGTTAGCGGTTTAGGGTCGATGGGGCGTGCAACATAATAGTAGCAAGCAAAGTGGCAAGTATTTGCGTTGCAAGCAGCAAACACAGTGTAGCGCAGAAACTTTCACTTATTCCGCGTTCTATCCGTTAGCCAGCACGGATTCTGTGCCGTCAGGTGCCTTGCATATACGCCACCTTGGAGAAACGCTCCTTCAAGCGCATGAGTCGGGCGATTTTTGCCGCTATGGGGCTTTGCGCCTTCATCTACACGGCTCGGGGCTCAGTACCTGACAAATCTGATGCCACCTTAGCTGCTTCTGCAAAGTCTTCTGCAAAGTCTTGAGGGGCCTGTTCAGCTCAGCACTTGCTCAGCAAAGCTGAGCTTGGGACTCTATTTACCTACAGTTCAGTAACTACCCCCTTAATTCGTAGGTGTAGCCCTAAACCCCAAACCCTAAACCCTAACCCTAGACCCTAGACCCTAAACCCTAAACCCTAAACCCACATACAACTGCAGGTAAAGAGAGTCCCAGGTTGCTGGGTGTCCCAGGTCGTGGCTTTGTCGGGTTTGCGTGTGGCCAAGCTCCAGGGAGACGCTCGGCTGAAACAGTGAACAGGCAAGATTAGGGTTTAGGGTTGAGGGTTTAGGGTTTAGGTTCAGGGCCCCCTATTGAGACGCCCCTACCTCCTAACATGAAAGAACTCCCAGTATCGTTATATTTTAGTTTATGCCCGAAGATTAACCCCCCCGGCCCCCTACCTCCTAGTGTTAAGCCCTCCTATTAGAGCATATGGGGGAGGGTATTTAATAATATTGGGGGTAGGGTTTGGTTCTACTTGGGGCAGCCGTCTGTGCCCTATAGGCCCTTAGACTTGAGGCGCTTCTGCAGGCAGAAATCCGAGCCGCATGTCATCCCCAGCCTGCTGCAGAGGTCGCTGCTGTACCAGGCAATGTGCTGGACCTCTTCGACAGCTCTGACTGGCTGGGTGGCGCCATGCGCGCGGCCATTTCTGTGGCGGTGACCCTGGCTTTTCCCATGCTCTGTTTGCCATGTCGAGCCTCGGTGGAGTTTGGGTCGCTTGCGACACATGGGCAGTTCTCTCTAAGCTTCGTTCCCTTTGTTGCGTATCTGCAATGTAACGGGTCCTGTGATCATGGGTGCCACAATGAGAGCTGGTATCCCCAAAAGGCCTAAAAACTCAGTGAACCTACCACATCACAAGGGGGTCCCCGGAATTGCTTGGCCCAAAACCCTAGGATAGTCGCACCCTAAACCCTAAACCCTAAACCCTAGGGTTCAAGGCTCCACTGTGGACCACCTGGTCTTCGGGGGTGGCGCCTTCGCGGCCTCGGATGCTGGGGCCCGGCACCGGGTGGAGACGCTGGCAGTGGCAGCCCGGACTTGTCAGCTTGACTTTAGGGTTTAGGGTTTAGGGTTTAGGGTTTAACGGTTAAGGGTTAGGGTTTAGGGTTTAGGGATGGTTGGGCAGGCGTTGCCATAATCTGCTTCTGTCCACACAATTGGCCTTGCTCTTGTGAGCGCCTCCCCCCCTGAAAGTCTAGATAGACAAGTGAAGAGACGGCTCAGCGTTCTGAGGGATGCCGAGAGTTGCTGCAGCAGAAAGGCTGAACGTCCTGTGCGGGCTCAGGTTACCATCACCCTTCTACTCTCAACTACTGAGAGTGACCTCTCGAAAGTCTTCGGGTTCACCGGCGCTACAGCAGGGGCAGTCATTTGCTACGCCACTTGGAAAGCTCGCAGAAACTAGAAGAGTGCTGCCTTCAACCACGATCCCTCACCCCCCTACTCGCCTCAGAGCCCTTCCAGGGGGAAAGAGGGAGTACTTTCTTAAACTCCTAGACCCTGAACCCTGTGGCGGTGGGGGGCACCTCTTAGGGCTTTCGAGGGGCGGAATGGGATGAGACCTGGCCGCCCAGGGGCCGACTTGAATGGGTGAATTGAACATGCGTGTATATGATTGTAGATGCAACCATATAACATGCATAAGCATACGTACATTTGCATAATATGTGACTTATGTACAACAAAATATTGCATGTACATATGTACATATGTCTCTATGTACGTATGTACACATATATATATATGCATTACATTTATATGCATACACATATATATATATATATACATAAGGATATGAAGCGGATAAATAATCAGTGTGACTCAGGTTTTGCCTCTGTGCTTCTACCTGCGGCTTCGAGCGTTGCGACCACCAGTCGAGCGCAGATCCACAATGGCCGTTGCCACGCTGTGCTATCTGCTCTTGGCTGTGTTGATCCCTGGCGTGGCAGCGAGCCCAGTATTCAGAAAAACCCAAAACCTGAAAACCTAAAACCTAAAACCTTCTGCCCTGTTGCAGTATGAGCTGAGGTGCTGGCCACATGGCAAGTTCTTTGAGGCACTCTTCGCCTCACCAGCAGAGGGATAAAAATGATGCCTGCAATCATTGCTGTTACGCATCCAAACAAATGTGCTTGCGAAGCATGGCAGCGTGTTCTGCGCGTGAAGCGGCCAGGCGTTAAGAGGTTTACAGGACGCTGTATGTGTTATCGGTTTTAGATAAGCAGCGATTCGGAGCAACGCTTTGTGCTTTTCCTATGCATCATTTGAGGCTGGACGATGTGTCCGAGTTCGCGAAATATGGCGCGGCGCCTACGCGGGCCAAAAGAATCTGGAGGCTCTTCCGTGGTTGTCGCCAAGCATGCTCCTGTCTTTTGAGGCCGTGGCGTGCACCCGGGCTGTCGGACCAAGGCCCGGCACTCATCGACAGTTGGGGTTTAACGATAACAGGGGTACCTTATTGGGGTCCTTATTATATAAGGGGAATCCGATTATTTGGGGGTCAAAATTGGGGGGGGGTCCCCTATTTCGTAAACCCCCAGCTGAGACGTTCTGACAATGTTGATACTAGCATGGGAAGACAAGAACTGACCTGACGATGTTGTCCCGCATGCGCACACAGCTGAGCAGTACTTGAAGTGTTTTGTCAGCAGTGGCATTGGTGGCAAGTTGCAAGCGATGCATCTTCTGTACCCCACTTGACGCTTGATCTCAGGTTGCAAATGCAATGAAGTCATTGGACCAGAGCCGTCCAGAAAGTTGGCAGGCCGCTGTGTTACCACCATTGACATATGCTGGCATGCAGCTTCACTCCGCATCACTGCTTTTCTAAACCCTATACCCTAAACCCTAGACCCTAAGCCCTGAGCCCTGAGCCCTGAGCCCTGAGCCCTAAGCCCTAAGCCAGTCAGAAGCAGTCCGAGCACTCCAGAGCGCACAGGCCCTGTTCCAGGTCAAGCGCGCCTTGCTGCGCCTGGCCGGCGGCTTGAAGTCTGCGCGCATGGTACAAATAAATACATACAAATATATATGTATATAAAAACACACATATATATACATATGTATATATATATATATATGTATATGAAGACCTTGCAGCAGAAAGTCCAGTGCACTCGTCATCACCCAGGTGCTTGCCAGCTTTGACACGGAGTCCAACACTAGCTTTGAGACTCTTAGCTGTCTTAGCTCGCAAAGCAAGCAATACCAGTTACCGGCAGTAAGCCTTACGTGCCCCATTTCTGAGGCTCGCGCAGACTGTCTACTTGCTGAGGAATATCAGGCTCCCGGAGCGCTGCCAAGCTAGTCCGGTTGCATTGGCTAGGAGGGCTTGCTTGCCAAACCCTAAACCCTAAACCCTAGAAGTTTATGTCGCGGTTGTCTTCTGCCGCTCATGGAGAGCCAAGTTGTGACAGGCAGGGCTTCAATGCCTTGATCAAGGCCAATGCTCGTCCAGAAGGCCGACAGGGTTGAACCCTAAACCCTAAAAAGCCTAAACAACCCTAAACCCTAAATCCTAAACCCTAAACCCTAAACCCCTCATCCCCCAAAACCCTTCAACCCTAAGCCGCGAGGCTTTGGGGGGTGGTCGTATCTTGGGACCCCGGTCTCAGATTGTGGTTATGTTGATTGCATGGCAGCCTTTTGCATTGGCCCCAGGCAGTCCAGCCCTGTCTTCCAGGCTCGTTCCGCGATGTGTTTGGCAGGAGGCATACATACATGTTTCTTATTGTACACACACATGTATGCATTTATTTCTTTGTTTATTTATACATTTATGTATTTCTGTTGTACATATATATATATATATGTGTGTGTTTATACATATATATATATATATATGCAGGTATACGTAGAGAACATATACAAGCCATTAAATGAATACAAGTCTAGATATGCATATACACACATATATACATGTATATATATATATATGTACACACACTCGCTGTAGTACTGCAGTATTCATCAGAGCACGTGAGCCTTGATCGATCGGAGGCCATACTTGGACTGGCGGCTGTTTGGCCTGCTCCGACATCTTTGCGACTCGACTCGAACAGCTCTTGGCAAGTCAAAGGCCAGGGTTTAGGGTTTAGGGTTTAGGGTTAAGGGTTTAGGGTTTAGGGTTTAGGGTTTAGGGTTTAGGGTTTAGGGTTTAGGGTGGAATCGTGGTGTTAACTGGGCGTTGCAAAAGAGACCCCTGTCCAAAGGTAACCGATGCCAAGAGATGCAGCGGTTTCTTGAGGATCGGGAGCTGCGCAAGGCGAGCCGCGAAGAGTCGAGCCTGAGTTTAGGGTTTAGGGTTTAGGGTTTAGGGTTTAGGGTTTAGGGTTTAGGGTTTGTCAAAGATTGCTTCACAGGTCTGATCATGCAAGGCCAGTGCAAGACCTTTGTGTCAGTATTTGCCAGAGCTTCTCCAGTGGGTCTAAAGGAAAGATGGAAGGTTAGGGTGTGTGTGGGTTAAGAACCCTAAACCCTAAGCCCTAAACCCTAAGTGCTCTCCATGTCTTCGACAGGAGATTGATCTTCTGCAAACCAGCACGGGAGCCCGGTATCGCAGGTGTACGGTGCTGGTCGAATCCGGTCGGCTCCTGCGCCTTCCTGAACCCTAAAGGGTTTAGTGTTTAGGGTTTAGGGTTTAGGGTCCTAAACCCGAAATCCTAGAACGTCAACTTGAGCCATCGGGGCCACGAAAGCTATAGGCAATGCCTTTTCGTTGTTCGCAATTGCAAAGGAGCCCCCCTGCAAGTAACTATTGATAAATGGGGGTTACGAAAAGAGGGGACCCCTAAAATAGACCCCTAAGTAGTAGGATCCCCTTATAATATGGACCCCAATAAGGTACCACCGAATGTTCGGAAACCCTAAACCCTAAAACCTAAACCCTGAACCCCAAAAAGCAAAACATGCCCAAGGCTTCGCAGCAGCTGCCGGACGGCTGTTCTGCTTCGGGCCTGCAGCTCGGGTTTGAGGGTTCAGGGTTCAGGGTTCAGGCTTTAGGGTTTAGGGTTTAGGGTTTAGGGGTTTGACTTTTTTTTCTGAAAAGAGATTTGCATAGATTCCCTGAAAACTGAATGCCCTAAAACCCTATACCCTGAACCCTAAGCCCTAAACTGTAAACCAATATACCCTAAACCCTGAAGCTCTAACGGTACGGTGCCTTTGGCCCTAAACCCTAAACCCTAAACCCTAAACCCTAAACCCTAAACCCTAAACCCTAAACCCTAAACCCTAAACCCTTAAGAGGCCTAGGAGTTGCATCGCGCATCTTGAGGTTGGGTGGCATACGAGCCGGCGCCAGCCTCTCGACGGCAAAGATGCAGCGGAGAAGAGAGAGAGGTTTTTAGGGTTTAGGGTTTAGGGTTTAGGGTTCAGGGTTTAGGGTTTAGGGTTTAGGGTTTAGGGTTTAGGGTCTACTAAATGTCCCCTCTGTGTGTGAGAGGTGTGTGTGTGTCTGAGAGAGAGAGTTGTGTGTGAGAGTTGTGCGTGCGTGAGTGTTGTGTGAGTGTTGTGTGAGTGTTGTGTGAGTGTTGTGTGAGTGTTGTGTGAGTGTTGTGTGAGTGTTGTGTGAGTGTTGTGTGAGTGTGTCTCTGTGTGTCTCTGTGTGTGTGTGTCGGTTGGATGACATTTCTCTTGCTGGAGTCTTGGCTGCCATGGAGGCATTCCGGACGAGGCGTGGGCGAGATTCCGGCCTCGACTGCTGGGGGTTTCCGAAATGAGGGGTACCTTCTTCGGGGTCCCTTTTATAAGGGAATCCTACTATTCAGGCGGTCTATTTTAGGGGTCCCCTGTTTTCGTACAACCCCCCTGCCTGCACGTGACACGCGTGGAAGCGATGCTCAGTCCTGTGGGCAGGACTTCTTCGAGTCTCTTCAGAGCCAGATGCCAAAGTCGAGGGAGCTCGTGCCCTGGTGGTGGTGCAAAACCCCAAACCCCAAACCCCAAACCCCAAACCCTAAACCCCAAACCCCAAACCACCCCAAACCCTAAACCCCAAAACCCTAAGCCCCAAACCCTAAACCCCAAACCCCAATCCCTAGCATAGGAGCCCAAGCTTCCCTTGGCCCCGAGGCTGAAGGACTTGATGGGCATTGCCATCGATGAGGAGTGCCTCCCCGGCAGTTTGGGTTTAGTGTTTCTTAAGATGTGAGGACCCTAAACCCTAGACCCTAAACCCTAAACCTTAAACCCTAACCCGGACCCCTAAACCCTAAACCCTAAACCTTTGAGGGCTGTTTAGGTCTTAGGGTTTGAGGGCTTCAGGGCTTCAGGCTTTTAAGCTCGGCGGGGGGAGTTAAGGTTTGCAGGTTTCAAGGCTAAGGGTTTGAGGTTTGGGGGTCTTCTTTGGATCTCTCACATGCCCGAATATCTCAGGCTACGGAAAAGGCCAGTAGAATTTAATTAGCCCCATTTGGGTGGTTGTCAAAATTGTGATCCCTTCTGGGGTACCCTAAATGTTAGGTGCCGTATTATAATCGGGATCCAAAAAGGGACCCTAAACCCTAAACTCTAAACCCTAAACCCTAAACCCTAAACCCTGAACCCTAAACCCTAAACCCTAAACCCTATCTTGACAGCCACCCACTTGTCTTTGCTTTCCCTTGGCAAAAGAGTGCATGTGTCTGCCGAGGCTCGACGCACCAACTTCCGGCTCCTTCTTAGGCCACCTTTGGCAGACTGAAGGCTTCAGGTGTAGGGTTTAGGGTTTAGGGATTAGGGTTTAGGGTTTAGGATTTAGGGTTTAGGGTGTTCGCTTGATGTTGCTTCCACCTGCCAGGAAGAAACTCGACAGAAGTCTTCAAGGAGGCGAGAGAGCCCCTTGCAAAGCAAAGCAAAGCGACTCGGGAGAGACTTCGTGATGAACTAACCCGCAGAGTTTATGGACATCAGTTGGGATGTTCCACCTTATACTGACAGTCCTGAAGGGATGATAGTACCCCTATGAGAATCCCTAGTAAGGACTGTTAGTAGAAGGGGGAGCATCCCAAGACATCAGGGGGCGCCGTGACAAGTAGCTTCTCTCTCTTCGGCACTCAAGGATCTCATACAAAAGCACACCCTACAAGGGGCCCTAAGTTCGACACATGGGTAGTTCTCTAAAAGAAGGATCCCTTTTTGGGATCCCTTTTATTGAAGGGTGCCACCATGTAATGGGTACCCAAAAAGGGGCCCTAAACCCTAAACCCTAAACCCACCATGCTTCTCCACAGCTTCGGCAGGACAGCGAGGGCACGCTGCATGTGAATGACGACTGACATGGCCGAGAGCCCGCCAGATTCTTACTCTCGGTTAGTAGGGAGAAGGGACTGAGGTACCCTGTATACTCCCTTGAAGGGTATATGTATATATCTATATATATATGTATACATATATGTATATGATTAGGGGGATATAGGGTACCTCATTCCCTCATTCCCTACTAAGCAGCAGTAAGGATTCGGGAAACTTGCGGTGCCGTAAACTCGCGGTGCTGGAGTTCCTTGTACATATTGGGCACGGCTGAACCGTGTCAGGGTATGTGAATATCGATTTGCTCGCTGCTCTTGGAGCAGGCGAGGCCAAAGTAGGAGTAAGATGAGGTCGTCTTGTTCCGTGGCGCGTAGCTGCTTCGACCCAGCTCCAGAAAAAAATTGTCGCGCCCTGCACGTCTGCTGCGACATGTCGTGGCACGCACTTGTAGCCACCCAAGATCCGTGCTCCGTGTGGGCCCTTCAAAATCGAAGCTCCGGCGCCACTGTTGCTTGCAGGGTGGCTCAGATGTACAGCAAAGGGACCATTGGACAGATAACGCTGCAATCACAAGCTTTAGAGACTCCGCTGCAAGTATGCCAAAACAGCCCTTCAACCCGATCCCCCGCAACAAGATTCGGGATCACTTGGACCACGTCTCCAGAGAGCGCTGCCTCGCTCGGATGGATGGCCAGACCTCCGAAAAGCCGATGGAGCATTAAGTGGTCCGACACACACATCTTCAAAGCAGAGCAAGAAGGTGCCATCACTTGGGATGCTCCCACTGATACTAACAGTCCTTGATAGGGATGATAAAATAGAGGGTGCTATAATCCCTACTAAGGACTGTTCGTATAAGAGGAAACATGGCAGTGAGTGCTTCTCTGTTAACTACTAATTGCTTAAGAATCCCGAAAGATGACAATATTCTTCCTTATTAAGGGCAATATAGGGAGTATGTTTTCTTCTTTTGGGGTTCTTAAGCAAACAGTAGTTAAGGCTTGTGTAGAAGCTGTCGCAGCTGTGACAGCCGCGTCCCCGGAAGGTGACAGCATCTCGCCAAGCTGCGTCGAGGAGTCATTGCTCTTACTGGTGGTTCGCCGGGAATGAGGGAATGAGGTACCCATAGGTACCCTGTGTAATCTCTTAAAGGATATATATATATATAGGGGGAGATAGGGTACCACATTCCCTCATTCCCTACTACCCAACAGTATGGTGCTGTGATGACCTTGGCCCATCATGGCAGATGACGAGGACTGGTGTCGCACATTGGATGCACAACTAGAAGAACGATTTGGGCCAACTGTGCCGGCAAAGCTGTCAGCTGCAAGTTTGAACTTTTCACGATGCAGCCTCGATGACGCCGCAACTTAGCTGCAGCAACAGTTTCAAGTATTGCTGTGCATTCCTTTACGAGGCATGTGTTCTGTGTACTTCTGTGTTATTCAGCTTCACTTCATGCTGCTCACAATGCTCTTTTCTAAAAGCAGGCTCTGACGAAGTTGCTGACATACCTCTACAGCCGCGACATAACAGTTCAAATCCTGAAGCTCTTCAGGCGGGCCCCATGTGCTTTCAGGCTTTTAGAGCTTCAGCTCCACAGTGCGCAGGAATAACATTACGGACTCCGGCGCTTGGGCTGTCGGCCAGTTCATGGCGCACAGCTCCCAAGCTGTGCATGAAGTGCACCTGAGCCACAACAGCATCTCCGAAGAAGGCCCGCCGCCATCGTACATTGCAAGTGACGTGAGCTTCCTCGCAAGATCTGATAAAACCGCTTGACGTATCGTGGCTGCAGGTGCTGCAGCGCTGTTGGAGCTCATCGTTGGGGCCTGAGCAGCCTTTGTGTTGGCACAGGATGCATAAATTCTGGGTCCTTGTTGCCTTTAATTTTACCTTATTTGTAGGATAAAAACCCAATAAGGATTGAAAATGGTAATTTTCAATATAACCCCAACAAGGACCCAGCAAAGGGTATCAAGTTCAAGCCCAGGTCTGGAGCCGAAAGTACCCCTATGCAGCCGAGAACACGGGGCGCCGGGACGCGCGTGGCAACTTGCCTTTCAAGCCTATGCACTCCAGAGCAGCACTCTGGTATTCTTAGGGCTCGGACCGTAACTTGACCGTTGAATGTATTGTGGGGGCCATGCAGCGCAGGGGCACCCGAACGTAGGAACGCTCTCTCCCGAAAGTTGTGCCCTCGCCATTGGAAAGAAGAAAATATCTCAAAAGGGCAGCTTTTGCATCTGAGATCGCTCTCCCACCGGTTTAGGGTTTAGGGCTTAGGGCTTAGGGTTTAGGGTCACCCATCCTCCATCGTTCTTCCTTGGAGGGGATGTTCGAGCACAACAGGAAGTTTCCGAAATCGCTCGGTGTGTAGATAGAGTAGCGCCGCGACCACATCTCTCAGTTCCCGCACTGTCCGTATGACGAGCTTGCGAAGTAATGCAGTGTGAGAACGGCAAAATAAGGTCGTGCGGGTATGAGTGCGAAGTGCTTGAACAGCCGCGTCTGCACATGACTTGAGGCTACTCGCCCATCTGGCTGCGACTTGAGCACAATTGCATAGATTGGCGCTTGATCGATCACAGGCCCTAGACTCAGTATCGCAGTGGAGGACCTGGAGATACCTGGAGCATGTGTGACCTGTGCCATCTGGAAATTGCATGTTTGTACGTGAGGTTGCACCGCCCGGACCTCACGTGGACGACTGCGGAGCTATGACCTGAGATCGTGTCACGACAACTGAGATGCGATCTATTCTACTATTTGCTTAAGAACGCCCCCTCCCCCCCCCCAAAAAAAAATAAAAATGTATAAAAGACAGTCTTCCTTATCAGGGCAATATAGGGATTTTTTTGGGGGGGGGGGGGGGGGGCGGGGGGGTTCTTAAGCAAGTAGTAGTATTGGTGATCTCGGATCCCAGAAATCGAGAGTCGAGGTCTCGGGACAACTGGCCACCGATGGGAGATGCCGCCCCAACGATCTGCCTGCATGCCTCGTTCAGGCCGGAGCTTTCGGATGGGGTTCCAAAGGGATTTAGGGTTTAGGGCCAAAGTTTAGGGTTTAGGGTTTAGGGTTTAGGCCTAGGTTCTCAGCAGAACTCAACAGTAAGTTAAGTTTGAGGGCCTATTTCTGAGTCTTCAGCCCACTTTTTTGGGCCCTGCACAGGAACCAGTACGACAGCCACGAACACGGGTGGGATGAAGATGGCAACTGGGCACCTGCTGCATGGTGTGCATTTGGGATGTGCCAGAAGAGAATTCCGATGTCAGGATTGGCATGAAGCCGTATGGGAGTCCTTACTGCCAGCTTGCCTGCAGATTACCGTATAGTCGAATTGTAGTTTTCTAGAGGTGACGCTGGTAGAATCCGGCCGAAAGATTCCGAACCAACTGTCTCTTAACTTCTGAGCCATGCAAGGGTTATGCTGCCGCACCAGCTGCTCCCGCTGCTGATGATGGGGGCTTGGTGCTCTTGGCTGCCCTCAAGGGAGATGGCGCCCAAGACATTGACAGGCCTCGGGCCAAAGCAAAGCCAACTTTGGGGGGGGCTTCCGAAATTGAAGTAGGGTGTTGTACCCTTGTTGGCGGGTTCCTAGAATAAGCATGCCAGCCTCTTAAGGGTACATTGGGGGGGCCTACTTTGGGAAATACCTTCATCTATGGCTCAGCTGAGACGAGCTGAGACCCTAAGCCCTAAACCCTAAAACCCTAAACCCTATACCCCTAAACCCAAAACCCTGAGACTTCCAGGCAGCAGCCCGGACCGCCGAAGGCCCGGCCAGCGCCGCTGGGCACCGCGGTGACCGCGCCGGGGTGCCGCAGCGGAAGGTATTTAGGCTTTAGGGTTTAGGGTTTATAGGGTTTATAGGGTTTATAGTGTTTATAGGGTTTATAGGGCTTATAGGGCTTATAGGGCTTACAGGGTTTAGGGTTTCGAGTTTAGAGTGTGTGTAGAAGTGCAGACTTGGGGCAAACGCGGAAGTTGGTTCTGAGGCCAAAGCAGCCCGTGACATCGCCAGTCCTGAGCACCTCACCCTTGGGAGCAGATCGAGGCCGCTGAATCTTCCGAAGGGCACAAACACCTGATTAGGGTTTAGGGTTTAGGGGTTAGGGGTTGGGGTTTAGGATTTAGGGTTTAGGGTTTAGGGTTTAGGGTTTAGGGTTTAGGGTTTAGGGTTTAGGGTTAAACCCTAAACCGTTTAGGGTTTAGGGTTGAGGGTTTTTGGCTTGGGCTGAGTTTTTGCCCTGAGAAGGTGGCTATCCTTCTCCAACAGCCTTGCGACCGCCAAGCAAAGTGCCGTTGTCCTCTACACCTCTCAGTCCGACCCGGCAGGCTACTGCGGATTGAGGAAGGTTGAAGACTTGTTTGGAGGCTGTTCAAGAAGGTTCAGGAGATGGCCTCTTCCGTCCTAAGGGCATGTGGGTGGTTTTCAACATTATGATCCCTTTTGGGGTACCGTAAATATGAGGTGCCGTATTATCATAGGGATCCAAAAGGGACCATAATTTTGACAGCCACCCATGTAGTACTGTAGTGAATGTAACAGCTTTCGAGTTGGACCTCTGCTCCTTCAAAGGCACCTGTCCAACCTGGCCCTGTGCAGCCACTGACGGAGACCCAGGCCCGATACTGCCGGCGTGTGCATCACCATGCGACGGTTTAGGGCTTGGGGTTTGGGTTTAGGGTTTAGGGTTTAGGGTTTAGGGTTTAGGGTTTAGGGTTTAGGGTTTAGGGTTTAGGGTTTAGGGTTGTGGGTTTAGAGTTTAGGGTTTAGGGTTTAGGGTTTAGGGTTTAGGGTTCAGGGTTTAGGGTTCAGGGTTTAGGGTTCAGGGTTTAGGGTTTAGGGTTTAGGGTTGAGGGGTTAGGGTTTAGGGCTGCCCTTGTGAACGTTCCCCCTGTCAGGCTGTTGCACTCTACCTGTTCCTTGGCCCTGGTTTTAGGCACAGCCCAAGACATCCCCAAGACCCCAATGGTCCCAAACGCCGAGGTTCCTGGATGTGGGAGCTGCCCATCAGATGCTAACGCGCGAGGACAGAATGGAACGGTTTCCGGAGCTTTCCGAAGACTTGCCAGGCTTCAGGAATCTCCCGTGATCATGGCTATCTCTCACAAAACGTCTGTTTTTTTCGGGAAGTCTAGATAATTATTCAGGCATTATATCATAGCTGCATAATTCTCAAAGAATTATGCACGTCTGATTTTGTGAAAGTATGGCAATAAACCCCAGACCCTAAACCCCAAACCCGAAACCCCAAACCCTAAACCCTGAACCCCAAACCCTAAACCCCAAACCCTGAAGCCCCCAATATCAACCAGGACGGTATGTGGCGATTCCAGGGCCTTTTGAATCTCGCGGCAACAGGGCATGTGCCACTTGGCCGCAAGGAGGGGTTTAGGGGTTTAGGGGTTTAGGGTTTGGGGTTTGTGGTTTAGGGCTAGGGTTTAGGGTTTGGGGTTTAGGGTTTAGAGTTTAGGGTTTAGGGTTTAGGGTTAGGGGTTTGGAAGCCTAGTGCGGTGCCTGTGCAGGAAGTGCATCCCAGACGACGAGAGCTGTCAACTCCCTCCGTGGGTGGGCGAAGTCCAGGTCGCCCTCGAAGTCGTGATATGGGTTTAGGGTTTAGGGTTTAGGGTTCAGGGTTGAGGGTTTAGGTTGAGGGTTTAGGGTTTAGGGTTTAGGGTTTAGGGTTTAGGGTTTAGGGTTTAGGGTTTAGGGTTTAGGGTTTAGGGTTTAGGGTTTAGGGTTTAGGGTTTACGAAGCTAGGGGTCCCTTCTTGGGTCCTTGTTATACGGGAATCCTACTATTTGGGGGGGTCCATATTGGGGGTTCCCCTATTTTCGTGAACCTAAACATGGGTTGAGGGTTTCGGGTTTAGGCTTTGGTACTTCCCAAAATTGGGGGGGGGGGGGGGGGGCCTCTTTTCTACCCCAAATAGAATACAATCCCCTTAAAGGGAACCCCCCCCCCCCCCCAAAAAAAAAAAAAGGTACCCCTAATTCTCCAAAAACCCCATATCATTCCATGAGCTTGTAGAGCAGTCGCAGAACATGAACCCTAAAGTTGCCCTAAACCCTAAACCCAAACCCTAAACCCTAAGCCCTAAGCCCTAAACCCTAAACCCTAAACCCTAAACCCTAAACCCTAAACCCTAAACTACCCTAAACCCTAAACCCTAAACCCTAAACCCTAAACCCTAAACCTGACATGACCTGAACCTTCGAGCCCCTAAGCCGCCCGCCAAAGTTGCGCACGCCAGGAGGGAGAACAGGCAGTGACTATGTTGACCAATGACGTGCTGCAAGAATCTTGGCCGAACCGGCTAGGGTTTAGGGGTTAGGGGTTAGGGGTTAGGGGTTTAGGGCTTCAGGGGTTTAGGTGTGTAGGGGTTTAGGGGTTAGGGGTTTAGGGGTTTAGGGGTTTAGGGGTTTAGGGGTTTAGGGGTTTAGGGGTT